CCCAGAACTGTTCGTATCAATGGGAAGGTTGGAGCCACTAGAGTGTTGGGGATGGTTCAGCGGATTAAATGAGTCTTCCATCAAGTGGGATGATCCAAGAAGCAATTTGACACTTGAGACCTGATCGGCAAGCCCCCTCAACCTGCCCAAAGCTTGCAGAACTTGGTTGCGTCGGCAGGCATTCCTCTAGTTTCGTCCAGAGTATGCGTTTACTCAGAATAGCCACCAAGCAAGGTTGGGAGCATAGAACAAGCACGCTGGAAAGCGTTTTTGACACCATCTGCGAGCACGGATAGGGATTGGTCCACTTCGTGGTTCAGTCAGGCCAACTGATCTAGACAAATTGTCGAAGGGCTGCATGTCTGGCTTTCAAGCAAGATGGCAATCGGCGAAAACACCTAGCAGAATGACATTTTTCATTGAGGCTCTCGAGGTTGTTAGTGAGAGTAACGTCAGCACTGATGCCTTCTGGTAAATTGAACTCTTAATTCGCAAACGGAATACATATCAATGTCCGGTGGGGCGAAGCATCATTCTAACAAAGACCGGGACACCAATTAGGTGTCTGAACGGTGGCATTAAGACACTGAAGGCGGTCGTTAAAGATCAACAGCCACCTTATCACTTACCAGTAGCTTCTTTACACCGTCTAGCTTTGGAAAGATCACTTGATAACCAATCAAAAGTCATTCATTTTTAATGGGGTGTCCCTTTAGCAGGTCATGAGTCTAAATTTTGCCCTCGAAGGATCTCGAGTAATAACACCAACATAAAGCCGACTGCTTACCAATGAAGCGGGGAATTTAGGCGAAACGAAGGGGTTTTTCAATGCTTATGTCTTCTGCCGATGATCTCTTGAGAGAGTCGGCTAAAATTGCATGGCTATGACCTTTAGATCCTCCCACATAACAAAGATCCATAAGATATAACATTGTTTCGTGACGCCACATCGTGCGAAACAGTGTCTTCGTTTGTCAAAAGCCTGATCCAACTGTATCGACTTAAAAAAGACCTAAGGACTAGAATTATCTCTCACCGTGAACAGCACTTACCACAGAATGGGGAATTTTCACTGATCTCGCACACAAAGTCAGACCCTAAGGGGAGCTTCCGGTGCGACTCCGTTTGCTGTTTTCAAAGTGAAGATTCCTAGATGACTGTGTTGGTACGTACAAGCGGTTGTTTGCTAACTTGCAGGTGTCGTAAAGGGGAGTTGCGATAACTGTGATGTACTCTAATTGTATCGCTAAACTGTCTTCAAAGTTTGCAGTGCCCGCATTACCAGTGGCGGATACTGCCAAGAAGGACTGTCCCCGTCCCCGATCCTATCCATTTAGGCCGTTCCTCATAAGTGGTCAATTTGCCAGTGACTCAAATGTCGGTGGTCACCGGAACTTGCATCACCCGACTGTTATCCACATGTGTCATTTTAAGTGCACTGCGGGACAAAATACTTGATAAAACGATTCTCTGACCTTGGAACGGACCACAATGTCGGAGAAATCACGTGGTCGATCACATGAATGTTGTCATTCTTACCGAGACTCATCAAATAGGCTTGGAGGCCTCTAACATACTCGTATCCACACGTAGTCCAGCCGTTTGACTGCGCCGGTGAGCTTTACTTATATGTGAAATTTCGATGGACAATTATCTGACCAGTGTGGAACAGGCACCCTGAATAGAAGCCTACTCTTGAAGGCAATAGCTTGACCATGTGCTTCCTGTTGAATGAATTCTGATGCAAAGGTATGGTTGGATCCCGTAAGTTAGCTTGCATTGAGCGCCATGAAGAAATACTCTTAAAAAATATTCAACGGACAAAATTCCTTATCGATTTCTATGGATAAATCTTCGGTTACCGGGAGAAAACCAGTGCATATGAGATGGAGGTTGTGTAAATAAAAAATCACTCACCCTTTCAATTTGGTTTGGCGGGCAAAAAATCCCCATTAACGGGTTCAATATGACAAGCAACCCAGCCCAGTTCATCGAGTTAGTTCGACTCGCTCACGTATTATTCCGTGGTTTCTTCTAATGACACTGCTAACCGCTTTCGTAATTACTAGTGTGGGCTTATGTGTGGGTATTCATATCTGTTCGTGTGATTGACCTTAGTCTAATTAGTGGTCGGTTCACTGTGAACCAGTGTGCTCCGCAATGGGGCTTTGCTAATTGGTCCAGCCAATCGTCTACTGACCACGTAACAGCCAATCAACATCGGACAACAACAGCTGACAGAAAGTTTCATCTGGATAGCTCAAAAGAAGCGATAACAATATGGGGAGAGGGCGCTTGTTAGGTAACCTTCACCCTTGAAAAGTGCGTGATCGTTCGTCAAGATATCAGGTCAGGCGGAATGTTTTTTACTCACTCAAAAAATGCTTATTAGGGTCTGACTGAATTTGCGACGTCTCCCGTTGGAGCCGTCTGGGTTTCCGTTACACTAACTACGGTTTATTTTTCAATTCCACATCGTCCTACAAAGCATTCTTAAAGTTCGCCTCGGAATTGCATCGAGCAAAGTTGCTTTCTTCAGATGAAATACATTCATAACGCGGAAGGCTTCCTTTCCATTTAGCCACAAAAGTGAAGGCGATTGCGGTGAAATCCTGTCGACCTTTTTCCTCATTGGCAAATCTAGACCCAGCGTTACTGATGTTACTGAGGTCACTCACAGGAACCGTCCGAATCTATGTTAGTTTTGTGGAGGGAGTAACATTTTTTAAAGTCAGCGCCTTTTATCAAATCTTCAGAACAATAAGTGACAATAAGTGAGCCGACACTGAATCGACTGTGACCTCCCATTGTGAAGCCTGCGACAAAATGAAAACCGGGGACGGCGCCTACCTGATAAGCCCCAAAAAGAGCGAAACCGGTCGTGGGCTGCCGACGGATTTTCAGCAACCTTATGAGTAGTACATCGCAAAGATATATATGTATCGCGCTATCTCGAATATCGTAGCGACTGAAACATGAAGCGGCCTGGTGCAGCACATTCAGTTGCCTGAAAACATCACAAACGATAAATTCAGCTGGGTTCCAGGCGAGTCTCTCGAAAAACCAAATTAGTTTGCAAATGAGTGCATATTCGCTAATTTCGTGCAATTTGGTTTCAAGTAGAACATAAGGTTGACGGGAACCCGGGGACTGCGCCTACCTGATGAGCCGCGAGAAGGGCGAAACCGGTCGTGGGCTCTCGACGGACTTTCAGCAACCTTATTGGTAGTACATTATAAAAATGAATACTCATCCAAAAGGTTACATTTTGCGTCCACGCGCATCAGCACTGAGTGAAAAACGGATCAAGTCAGTCAGGAGGCCAGAACTCTGCAAACAACGTCTGGTCTTCTCCCAAAACCTGGTGTGCCTGATTATTTTGTGAATATCTTTACTGAGGTTGGAAGCTTGATCCACTGTGTTATCAACAAAAGAAACTGACCTTGAAGTGCGCCCCCGCACTCGGGTACGCCAGATGAAATTCCGCACTTTAATAACCCGTCCCGGGTACACAAGGTAGCAAAATAAAATCACTTAGCTTTGAACGCAGAGCGCACAAACTCACGTACGTCATCATCGTATAGCCTGAAATATCAGTTTTTATCTCATCAAGAGCGGTTTCCATCNCAGGTGTAAGCCACTTTTTTGGAGGTAAAAAATTGCAGACAACTCACCTCACTATTTGGTGAAAACTGTCAAAATGAGGGTCATTCAACGGTGGTCGCTCAGTCTACTTTCCCAGAAACTCAAGCAGGACCTCATGAGCTACTTCAGCCTGGGTACAAGTACTTCACAACCCAGCAGTTCAATACCCTGCATGAGAGTTGCTGAAAATATTCAATGAAGATTCTTCACCAAGAACAGTGTGGACAACCCGATAAAAACAAGGTGTATGTCAAAAATGAGCTTTGTACGCATGGTTCTAGAGCGCGTTTAATCCCGAGAAGGAATATTCGAGACAAGTAACCAACCGGCGACCCTTCAGGAAGCATGGTCTTTGCGGATAGAATCGAAGTCATTGAAAGTATCCATTTCCTAGTAATTCGTAATGAGGTGCAGTTCTGCCGGAAGTTATTTAGCTAAAACTCCATAAATTAATTATCGAAGTTGTCACAAAAATTAGTATGTTAGTAGAATGAGTAGTCTTGGGGGTTTTAAATGGAGTTTTCTTCCTGCAAGTGGAGCCAACTGTACAGATGTTTCACCCTTGCTGAAAACTCCAGGGCGGGGTTTCGAACCCATGACCACCCGGTTATTAGCTTGAATATGTAGCTGCTTGGCTACAAGTGACGGACCAACATTGTGATTAGCTGGTATTTGGAAAAAAATATGGCGCCATTCAACATTCAGTAACGAAAGTTAAATGTTACCAAAAGTATGCATGCTGCCATCAGCTTATAGGGGAAGAATAAATTCACAGGATGGGTGAACCTTTCATCTGGAAGGTCGCCCTCGAGAAGCCGGTCAACATGTGTGACCACAAGGTGTATATCTTGTCTAATTACGAGATACTCACAATCCTGGTTAGTATGTGGCCTACCCACTGGCCGGGACGTCGTTGATTCTAATTCCCCTGGGGATTTGTGAGGTGCGCACAAGTGATCATTCTCAATAAGTTTAAAAGTACAACGCTTCTCGGCTTTTAAGGATAGGTTGACTTTAATCAATTGGAAAATGTTTGGGACTGATTGAGAAGTCATCGTTTTAGAGAGGTTTGCTAAACAATCAGTGGATTTGTTGCTAGGCCACGTTTCGCTTTTGACACAAAAGCTTCGTCAGGCCAAATGAGTAGGTAAGTGGGTTGATTAGGTTTTAAGGCAGTCAGGGAACCAATCCGTGAGATTCCTTATGACTAGTGACTTGATCAGTGCTGAGTATTCAGTCTGATGTTCCTGTTTGTTGGTTAGTGGGGATGACTAACAGTTACGATAGATTAGTTAGGGGGGAAGGATTTGTCTTCATGATGAACTTGGATTTTTCGTCCTTGCTTTTCAGTCTAGGACAGTCTAGCACTTTACATACAGAACGAAATCGGGAGCGAACTTTTCGAAGCTCCTCACACTGCCAACATCATCAGTGTCGGTCTGAAAGTTAGTCTGCATAGGCATCTGATGGTGGGCTATAAAGTCTGAACGTTCAAAGTTGGACAGAAACAAATAAAATAAGGGAAAACTGTTGACCCTCTTAAAGCCCCGAGCGTTGTTCATCTTTAGGATGAGTTTTCCTCTGGTAAATGACCCATTATTTTTCGACCTATCGGGAGCATGAACAGACACTCATCGATTAGTAGACACGCTATCGATTTTCTGTGGGGTCTTGTTTTGCCATGTAACCTTTCATTGTTGTATCCCATCTTTTGGTACCCATCCAGAGTGATCAGTGCAATTGAGTTTAGTGGCAATGGCTTACATACTTCGTTGCTTAATCATTGTTTGACTTCCTCTGGCTTCGGGTAAGTCGATCAACTGGCATATGGAGCACGTGACCAACTCAGCACAACCAATGGGGTATGACCAGTTCGTTAACCGTGAGAGAGTTATTCCTCCCGTTAACCATTCGAGTTACCCCAGCATTAAGGATAGAGTATTCTCAGCAGACTTCGGCATTACTCCGATATTGTCGATTACCAAACACTGGAAGTTTGTGAAGCTCCCAGCGTGCAGCGACCAGATTTCTGATCCGTATGAAACGCATCGCAGTATTGTAAACTAGATCTTTGATGGATAATCTGATATCCCGCCTGCCCCATAAGTGATGCAAGTTCACAAAAGCTGCTCTGACCTTCCTAATCCTGATGTATATATCATCTTTGGCTGATATAATTGCCCATAACTGAGCAAGTTCACAAAAGCTGCTCTGAACCTCCTAATCCTGATGTATATATCATCTTTGGCTGATATAATTGCTCAAAGGGAGAAATTTGTCTGCTGTCTCGATCGACGCATCCGGAAGCATGAGGTTGAAGTTCGAGCCTACCCGGTCTCGCAACAACGCTTTGCACCTCACATGTGTAAAGCGCATGTGAAAACGTGAGGCAGAGTTGGTTAGATTATTTTATATTGTACGTATTATGATGGTGTGAGATCCAACGAGAGTTATCCCACCTGTCTACTTAATAGCTGTGAGCGAATACCCTGGGAGCACTGGCGCCTGGTAGTGGATCTGGCGTAGTCGGATCAGTGAAGAAATTACAGCGGAAGGGCGAAAGACGACAGCTTTGCCTGACCACTTGATAGAGTTGGTAACGGTGGATACTACTGATGGGGCATGCGAGTAGTATGTTTTCTCTTGAACCCGCTTCGCATCCCTTGAAAAGTGAAATCTACTACGGAATTCGTGGAGACGCATTTGCCTGCATTTGAGCTGGAGTCAATGAGGATCCAGGAAAGTTCAGGAAGACGCGCTCAAGGAGAAGATGGATATGACAGAGATGCATATGAGAGTTTTGCTTCCCTATCCAATAGTCTGTAACTGTTCACTTGGCGTTTTCTAATAAATAACTCTGCAGCAAAGGCCTTCTGTCTTTGACTGGTAGGAAGCATACAAGAAGCACTCATCGAAAAATAGCGCTTGGGACACAAGCTTGATTTCAGCAATATACATTACATACACGTTTGCTTCAACAGCAGGATATTAAAACTCTGGATGAGCACAGTGAATCACTCACGAGTATTGGAAAACACTGGTGTTACGTGGGCGGGGGTTGAGGTCACTCGGAATATGAGCATTCTAAACACACGAGGAGCTGAGAGGTTCGATTGAAGACGCCTCGAGTGTCAAATCGACCTGCACCAAAGGCAGTGACTGAACATTTTGTTTTAATGAGAGGCCTCACTAGACATTTAATGGATTTCTTCATTTGACTGGTGTAGCACTGATCTTTCCTTTCAGACGTCTACCAGTCCGTCAGACAGACTTGCTGCGATGGGATTATAAACACCCAATATAATTCGACATCATGTCCTTACACCGGAATCCCACAGCCGATGTGCTGTTTAAGTTCAACGACCATCTGGAACAGTTAGTTTAGACTAAGTTTGTCTTCTATCGATTAAAGTGTCATATACAACAGGCTTCGCATGAACGTTGACCGAATTAGACCTTACCTGCTCTCTCTCCGTTTTGTTGTTCGCGCCCTGGCAACAAACCCATTACCTCTGTGTCCAAATGCTCCTTTGTTTACCTTTTCCCCGTGATAACCCGTATGGTGTAATAACCACTCTGATGACGTCACTGCACACCGCCGTTCTTCAGTAATTCTTTTTTCCCGTGAATTCCCAAAATGTCTTACGCTTCGCTAACTCTTTAGCATATCCGAAGCTTGGTAGCTTTAGTTTGTCAAGTAATAAACTGCTAACTGCGTGCAATTAGTCATCCATTTAGAAAACTCTGAACGATGTGAGCACAACTCACCAGGATATGGACGCCAAACAGCTGCCTCTCACTCGCTACCACAATTTGCCTAACAGTGGTTCAATTCCATGAAGGAAACTACCCACAAGGTTGTTAAAAACTCTTCGTCAGCCCACGACCGGTTTCGCTCTTCTTGGGGTTCATCAGGTAGGCGCAATCCCCGAGTTTCCGTCAACTTATGATCTACTTGAACCCAAATTAGACTGTTTTCGACAATTGCTGAAGAGCCATTCATAAATTGTGGACTACAACAACAATAGAGACCTTTGAGTCGTCCAAAAGGCCCATAAAAGTATCGCCCATACACCCCAAAAGAGTTGGTTTGAAACGATGTAAGAGTAACGGATGTACTCTTATACTTTTGTTTATGTGATCAGTCACCCAGAACTGGAAGGCAGCGATAGTTTTTTTGCGCAGAGCACAACCGTAGTCTCAACGAAGAAAAAGCTGTTATTAGGGCTTTAAATGATGTGGTGATCGACACGGGGCGCCTGGGAACATCACATTCAAACCAAGTGGATTATCTCATTCGCAGCATGTTGAAGCCTATTCAACAGTGTAAACTAAATAAATAAATAAATAAATAAGCGTTGCCCAGCAATAAATATGTCACCAAACTTTTTCGAAAACGATAAATAAAACCCAAGTTCTCGTGAAGCCTATCAGTGTAAACTAAATAAATAAATAAATAAATAAGCGTTGCCCAGCAATAAATATGTCACCAAACTTTTTCGAAAACGATAAATAAAACCCAAGTTCTCGAAGAATATCTCTCTTTGTTGGGAGGGCGGCCGTGTATATCGAAACATCCAGGAGTCCCAGGAGACCAATGCTGTTTGACTTCCCTAGAAGTGTGGCCTATGTTCCAAAGGCTTTTAGCTCAATGGTATGCATTGAGCGGGGGGAGGATTATCTGAACTCTACAGGGAGTGGTATCGCCTCAGAGACATCCTTCTTGCGACCAGTAAAACCTCACCTCGGATTATGGTGAACCAGGTTCAAAGTAATAGGCTTCAGCGGCGCAGTTTTATCCCAATATGTTCTACTCTGACCTTGTGAGTATCCATAAAGATGGATTGAAGGAGGCTTTGTAGAGTGCAAGTGAAGTGGCACAGTGAACGACACAGTGGCATTAAAGTGCAAAATACCAGTGATTCTTTAGATATCATTTTTGTGATTTTGTGTTCTCACTGACCAAATTTCGAATGAGGACGAAAACTGTGCAGCCCAAGTTTACTTGGTAGTTTCTATCATTGCTCTAACTGGCTTTTTGTCTCGATTTTGATATCTGTGAACCAAACGTCCCGAGAACAAGCCAGTTCAGGTTAACCGCTTGTGTGTGTACTCTTAACACGAATAATAGCGTGTCAGTAAAATATGGCGATTGACCTACCGGTTCATTCATTCAAAAGTTTGTTGCACTTTTATTGTGTCGTTTGTCAATTTCTGTTGGTTTTGCGAAGTGAAATGAACCGAAAACATAAGAACCCCTCTTAGCGAACTTTTTGCGGCCGCCCTGTTAATTCCCTTTGTGATTGTCTCGATACGCGGGGGCTGCCTCGCGGAAGGGCTCATCCAGTCTATGCAAACGAAATTTTTCTGCCTCGATCGAAGCCCAGATTGTTGAAGCAAATTTTGACCAAATTCGTCCGGAGAAAAAGTTCATCAGCCTTGCCTAACCAAGGCAAGGTAAAACCCGATGTTTTGGTCGTACTAAGTTTTGTCCACTTTGAGTTCCATAGACAGGCCCTGAAGTTTATTGCACTTCATGGGGCAACCTGTTCTGTGTTTGGTTACGTTTCCTGTGTCACGATGCATTATGGACAAAATCAGCTACAAACTGTATTGCGGACGCCGCTTAATCCAACCTCATCTAGCATAAGTGGCCTTTGAGATGAAGGGTTTAAAGCTGACGACTTCAAAATGCACAGAATGAGTTCCCATTGACACAGTAGTCACGTTTTTGAAAATTCTTCGACAGCCCATAACCGGTTTCGCCATTCGTGAGGCTCATCAGATAGGCACAGTACCCAAGTTTCCATCAACCGGCTGTCGAAGATTTTCCGCAACCTTATGAGTAGTGTATTACGTCTATATATGTGTCGCAATATCTCGAATACCGTAGTGACTGAAATATGGAGCGGCCTGATGCAGAACATTCAGTTGCCTGGAAACATCACAAACGAGAGATTCAGCCAGCTTCCAGGTGAGTCACGGAAGAAACAAATTGGTTTGAAAATGAGTGTATTTCGCTAACTTTGTGCAATTTGGGTCCAAGAAGAACATAAAGTTGATGGAAACTCGGGGACTGCGTTAACCCGATGAGCCCCAAAAAGGGCGAAACCGGTAGTGGGCTGTCGACGGACTTTTAGCAACCTTATGAGTAGTGCATTACGGCTAAACGATTTCTAAGTTCAAACTAGATAGCTGTTTCAGGTTGACCCTGCCCTTAAAATGACGCCCTAAAAGTGATCAGTAGCAAGTAATTACACAATAATGGTCCAATGTTCTCTGTCTTCTGCCCTAAGCATGATCTTTCCTACGGAATCTTGCACCCACATTTACGAACAAGTGGTTCGGTTGGTTGTGTGGTCTTGTCTGTTTTACTGTACTACTAAAAAGTTTAGAAGAGTTACCTGTAAACGTTAATACATATTCTGATTAATTCCAAACTGCA